CCCGAACAGTTTACGGGTTAGTCTCGGGTTGTCCTCGTTACGCGGTTCAAGTGTAGGGAAACATGTATATAGTCAACTGCATGTGTCGGTGATAACAGTCAACTGAATCTGAAGCCGAGAAAGGTCTGCACGTGTGAGCAGTGAGGACCAGCTAGGTCATTGAGTTCCCGAGACCTGCAGATGAAACTCCTGGTCAGCGCTAGGGTTTCGGTCGTTGGACACAGCCCCACGGTGAGGAGTGGTCTGGTCTGCTCCTGCTGTTCGTTCTGGCAAACTGAATAACGCAACAAAGAGCCCATCAAAGGGTTAGCATATCGACATCAAGTCTAGCCAAGCCGGCGACGCCGTGAACTTGAAACGCACATACATACTTCTACCCTAGTTCATATGTACGTGGGTAAACTCCTGAGCTCAGATGAGGAAGGCGAAGATATATTCCTCCAACAGTGACAAAATCATAACACACACGATTTTGTGAGCGGCACTTCACCAGAAAACTGTATTGAAATGAACGTAGTCGTAATTAGCAACAGCTCGACTTAGTTCGCCACCACTGAGAACAACGACGATTCTGGTCCTGCTGCGGACCAGAGGCTGCACAGCAGAACCAGGCTGCAGCGGCTGCATTCCCTTGTTCTGCTGTCGACGGAGGGCCGCGTTCCGGTTCTGCTGTCGACGGAGGGCCGCGTTCCGGTTCTGCTGTCGACGGAGGGCCGCGTTCCGGTTCTGCTGTCGACGGAGGGCCGCGTTCCGGTTCTGCTGTCGACGGAGGGCCGCGTTTCGGTTCTGCTGTCGACGGAGGGCCGCGTTCCGGTTCTGCCGCGGACGAGGAGCTGCGTTCTGGTTCTGTTGCGGACGAACGGCTGCATTCCAAAGTGAGTTTGGAAGAGAGCATCTTGACGATAACGGATAGTGATAACAGCCACTTTGAGTACTGAAGCTTGGCGTGAGCGAAGCACAGTTTTTCCCATCGGTGGGCTTAGATTTTCTCCAGAGGAATAATTTCAGTGTCATGGAGTTTGTACGATCACTGGGGTCGTGGCGGAAATCTGACTTGAGCAAT